AGTGAGAGGGGGACAGAGGGGGATGGAAGGGACAGAGACAGTGAACAAGTGGGGACAGAGGAACAAGGACAGACACAGTGAGAGAGAAAGGATGGGGGGTACTGGGGGGCAGAGACAGCGAGTGGGAACAGAGGGACAGTGAGTGGGACAGAGGATGGGGGCAGAGAGAGGAGCTTTGAGGGGGACAGAGGGGCAATAGAATGGACAGAGGGACAGGGTGGAGAGAGGTGCAATGAGGAGGGACAGAGGGGGAGATAGAGTATACAGGGATAGGCGGCAGAGATAGGAGCTGTGAGGGGGACAGAAGGGCAGTTAGAGTGGAGGAGGGAGGGAGGGACAGTGAAGAAAAACAGGGACAATGAATGGGGACAGAAGGACAGTAAGGAGGAAAGAGAAACACTGAGGGGGACAGAGACAGTGAGTGGGGATAAAGGAACAGGGTGTGGTGACACAGGGACAGTGGGGAGACAGAGGGACTGTGAATGGGCACAGAGGAACAGTGAGAAGGGGCAGAGGGATTGTGAAGGGGGACAAAGGGGCAGTAAGCAGGTCCTGGGGCACCCTCCGTCCCCAGCCTGCTCCTGGCGGGCCCACCTGGACGAGTTCCTCCTTGGAGCTGAAGTGAGAGATGATGACGTTCTCCCCATCCGACACTCGGGTCAAAGAAATGCCGAGGCGCCCGTTGGCCAGCTCATGGCAGTTATCAGGCAGGGTCTTGAGCAGGTAGCCACGGATGGTCTTCACGACATTGAAGGAGGGGTGTAGGGGGCCCAGGAACCGCTTCCGGGCCTCCTTAGACACCTCAATGATGTCAGCACCGGCCTCGCCTGGAACATCAAGGCCAATGGTCAGGGGTAATTCCTTCCCTGCCCCTTGCCAGGCTCCTGCACACATCCCGAAGATGCTGACCTATTGCAGCTGGTCCCTGGTCCCCAGCTGAGACTTCAACTCCCTGCCCCTGGGGAGAGAGAGGCCGGGCTGGCCAGCTGGCCCTGCCCTCTGCCTAGTATTTCCCAACTGTCTGTCCCATGAGTCACTGGGCTTAAGGTTGTGTGGTAGCCACTCCAGGGGGAGAGGGCAGCTGCTCAACCTGGACCAGCCTCAGGCTCCACCCACTTGGTCAGATCCAGCCCAGAGCAGGGCTCCTGGAACCCAGGACAATGCCCAAGAACTGTGTTCCCTCTGGTCCACGTGCCAGGAGGTCATGGAGTTGGCTCAGTACAAAGTCAGGGCTGGGTGCAGCCCCTCAGAGTGCCTGGAGCAGCAGGGCTGGAGACCAAGACCTTCTCTGGGCCACTACCCCTAGTCAGACCTCCCCCCACTCCATCATCCCCACCACCCCCTACCCAGCCCTGAAACATTTGTGGCAGGAGTCTTGTGAGACAGTGACAAGAGAGGAGCTGTATCACCCATGGAGGCCTCCCAGTTGACAGCACCCCCTCCTATTGTCTCAAGAGTGGGAAGCTGTTCCTTGCTTCCAGCCCTCAGGGCCCAGGTCCCAGGAAGTATTCCCGCTGGGCTGAGTAAACAGGGTGACCCTCCGTCACCTCCTGGCAGAGCAGTAACTGGGCTGCTGTCCTAGGACTCTGTGTGCTGTAAACACTGGCACGTGCAGGAGGAAGGGTCACCACAACAGACAAGAGGGTCCTCACCCACCGCAAAGGGGGACCAAAGCCAAGTAGGGGGGCTCCCCCAGCGTCTACGGAGGGGCCAGGCTCAACTGCCAGACACGCCCTTGAGGGCACTACAGGCCTGCATCCAAAGCCTGGAGCAGCGAACCCTCAGGACACGGTGACCGCTGGCCCTACTCAGTCACCCCAGGACACAGATCTGCACAGCCCTGCCCACGGGTTTCTGTTTCCCCGAAAAGCCTCGGCGGTTGCACCTGCGGCTCCCAGCGTCCATGGTCCTGGGGACGCGCCTGGCCTTTCCCAGGCTCCACACATGTCAACCCTGTCCCTGCCAGGGGCCGGCGCCCTGGGGGGAGATAGATCCTGGGGGGATGGACCCTGGAACCGGGAAGGCCCTTGGGATCGGGTGGACCCTGGGACCGGGAAGGCCCTTGGGACCGGGTGGACCCTGGGACCGGGAAGGCCCTTGGGACCGGGTGGACCCTGGGACCGGGAAGGCCCTTGGGATCGGGATGGACCCTGGGACCGGGGTGGACCCTGGGCCCGGGGTGGACCCTGGGACCGGGGTGGGCCCTGGGACCGGGGTGGACCCTGGGACCGGGGTGGACCCTGGGACCGGGGTGGACCCTGGGCCCGGGGTGGACCCTGGGGCCGGGAAGGCCCTTGGGATCGGGATGGACCCTGGGCCGGGATGGACCCTCCGGCCGGCGCTCTCGGGGGACTGGGGATGGACCCTGGGCCGGGATGGACCCTAGGACCGAGAAGGCCCTTGGGATCGGGATGGACCCTGGACCGGGATGGACCCTCCGGCCGGCGCTCTCGGGGGACTGGGGATGGACCCTGGGCCGGGATGGACCCTCCGGCCGGCGCTCTCGGGGGGCTGGAGATGGACCCTGGGGCCGGGATGGACCCTCCGGCCGGCGCCCTCGGGGCCGGGATGGACCACTCACCCAGGCAGGCCCCAGAGATCAGCGCGGAGGCCGTGACCGCCCCAGCCGAGGCGCCGTAGATGTGCGTGGCGTTGGCCACCAGGAAGGGCGCGTGCTCGCGGAGGCAGGAGGCCACGCCGATGTGGTAGAGGCCGAGGAAGCCGCAGCCCGCGAACGAGATGTTCCAGGAGGTGTCGCGGGGGAACATCGCGGCGGGGGCCGGGCTCCGGGGCTCCGCGCTCACCCCTCTGGTCCGCGCCGGGTCCGGGCGGTGCGGGCGGTGCTGGAGTTCGGACGCCGTGCGGGGGGTTCGCGGGGATTTCGCGGCGGTTCCCGGGGTTCCCAGTCGGCGGGGCCGGGACGCTGTGCGGGCGGCGGCGGAGGCGGCGTTATGAGGCTGGGGTGAGCGCGGGGGGCGGGCCAGCGCGAGCGCGGGGGGCGGGCCGGGGCAGGGCCGGGCGCGCGGACCAATGAGGGCGCGCAGAGTACGGCCACGCTCGAGGTAGCCCTCAGACCCCGCCCATCCAAGAAGCCACGCCCATCGACCACCAGCTGCGGCCCCGCCTCCTCGGGTGACGCAGTCGGCCGGTGGGGGTTGCCGCCTGAGCCTGGTGGCCGACAGCTGGACACTCCCGGGGTCCTCCAGCCAACCCCCCCATCCTGGGACACAGGACCGTCATGTCTCAGTCTCTAGCACGCAGACCACCAGCTCTCGGGACTCCCAGGGACCCCAGGCCACAGACTTAGCACCCACCCTACCCCGTGGCCTCTAGTACGGGGGCCACTCACCTGAGCTTGACCCTGGCTCCTCTGGGCTCCTGGGGCTGTGGGCGGGGTCCCCTTGGAAATGGACCTGAAGCCAGACACCCAGATACTACGTGCCCCACCCCCGCTAATTGCCCTCAGGTGAAGCCACAGATACTACGTGCCCCGCCCCCGCTAATTGCCCGCAGGTGAAGCCACAGATACTACGTGCCCCGCCCCCGCTAATTGCCCGCAGGTGAAGCCACCCCTAGTGATGTCACCTGCCCGCCCCTTTCCGCATTTTTCTCTGGGTTCATCCACCGTGGATTCACGAGCAGTCTGTCTTGCCCAAATACCCAAGCAAGGAGGACATGTGTCCCCTCAGGCCTGCACTCTCCAGTCGGGCCTTCAGCCTGGCGCTGCCCCGTCCCTGGGTTGGCTGAAAAGCCACAGACAGAGCTTCCCCAGGACAGGTCATCTGGGTTCATGCTGCTGGTCCCAGCCACCCACTCCTGATCACCCACTGCACTGTGATCCGTCAATGCAGAGTAAAGAGAACAGAGGTGGGAGCTGAGGGAAGAGCAACCAGGCTCTGGAGGGTATGCAGGGGCCGGGACAGCATAGAAGGACTTTGTTGCATTTGACTCAAGAAAATGCCTCCTTTCTTCTGCAGATAGGATTCCAGTCCCCAATGCTTCAAAGAGCAGGCACATCGACTGGGCAGGAGGACTCTGGGGAGTTGGGTCAGGGTGGTCAGGAAAGTAGAAGAGGTGGGGTGGAGGTGGACCCACAGGTTTCCAAGAGGACTAGAGCACTTCCACGTTTGACTCAGTGGGGAACCAGTGAAATGGGCTATGTGGACCATGCCACCCCCACCCACTGTGGATGCTGCCCCGCTGCAGGCAGACCCCTGCTCCAATTTCTCCATTTCCACACTTGTGCATGTTTGTTTGGGTACATACCATCCCCACCGCCCAGGGCCCATGAGACCTCAGCTACCAGGAAAGTTCTGGATCAAGAAGACTCATAATTCCCGGAATCCTGGCCACTGGTCACCCAGGCGGAGGGGCCCTCTCCAGGCCAGTGCAGGCTGCAAGGACATCCAGAGGATCCTGGTATGCAACAGTGGGACATCCCCCTGCCCTCCTATATGTACCCACCACCTTCTCCCTGAGTGTCCACAGCCCACCTGCAGAGGTGGCCAGCTGCCTCTGCCTTGCCCACCTCCATCTGCAGGCCTCCATTCACCTTTATCTTCAAGCAACAGGTTTCAGCCTCTCCCATTCCTCTCCTGGGCTGGGGTGCCCTAAGTCACCCAGCAGTGAGCACCCCTCTAGCAATCCGTCTGAGGTCCAACCCTGCTATCTTCTGTTGGACAGTGTCAGTGAAATTGAATTCCATGGCCCCTCTGGCTACGACTTGTGCAACACAAACTGCCTAATCCTGTACCATCCTCACAATCTCTGACACTCAAGCCCATTGCTGAAGTCACTGTCAGACCACCTGGTTGAGGGTCTTCCTCTCCTTTGCCATCACTCCATCTTTCCAAGCACGATGTACCTTCTCTTAGTCTTTTCTAGCAACATGCCCAAAGTTAAACAAAGCTTTGTCATCATTGCCTCCAAAAACAGGAGACTTGGTAGTAAGGATTTGCACTGCCAACCCAAAGATGGTTGCTGTTCTTAGGTGCTGTGGAGTAAGTCTCATTGCAACCCTGTGTGTGAATCCCGTTCTATCCTGCGCCATCTTCATCAACCAACATATTTCAGGCTATTGCCAGTCACTAGACCGATCTATCTTGTTGAGGTTCTTCCTTTCACCAGTCTCCCACCTTTCTAAGCATCACATCCAAGGACTAGCTCCTACCAACAATATGTCTAAAGTATTGTTAGAAGTGTTACCATTCTTGACTCCAAGGAGCACTCTGGCTGCACCTTCTCCAAGATGTTTGTTCTTTTGCTAGTCCATGTGATATTTGGTACTCTGGGTCCGCAAACCCGCCAATCTGAGTCAGTTCTGACTCCATGGTACTCAACAACTATTTTACAAAGGATGGGATCTTTCTCCAGGGTCTTCCATCTCCTAGTAATATACCCAAACTTTCGATACGGCATTCTATACCTAAGAATGCTATTCCAAGACAGACTTCGATTTACTTTTAGCACTTAGCTACCTCAATGAAGGGCTCTTTGGAACACACTACATTTTCGATGAGCCAACTCTGGTTCACATACACGGGTTATGTCAGGACAGCCAGTCCTTGGAAAAGAACAGAATACTAAGGTAGAAGGTCAGAGAAAGAGGAAAGGCCTCAGTAAGCCTGACAGTGACAGCAGGGACTTGAACACGATGCAGATTTGTGGATGATGCTAGATGGGGAAGAGTTCAGAACTTTTCTCTGCTCAGAGTCAACTAAGCCACAGCGAACAGGTTAGCCTTTCCAGGGACTGGCTCTGACAACATGCTCAGCGCATGTGAGCTCATCACTTTGGAACGTGTGTGCATTTCTCCACCTGTAAAGAGTGGTTTGATCTAGTATGTTAGGTACCTTTTACAGAGCCCCATAGAAAATGAAACCCTGCCCAGACCTGTACCATCGCCATACTCTCTGCTACAGTCCATTTTCAGTCACTCATTTACATAAACAACTCCATTTTATTCCTTTTTTAGTGGACCCCAACCAAGCAGCATGCCTTTCTCCAGATGCTGGCCTCTCCTGAGAACATGCCTCTTAATAAGCTAGTTGCTTTCCTTCCAAGGTATATTTTCCACCAAAGGCATCAATTGATACGATTCAAACTCCAGTTTTCCTGTGTAGGAAGGATTGACCCCCAGATAGTGGTGGTGGGCTGAACCCTTTGCTCACCGAGTCCACCTACCCACATAGGGCCACCAGCTGCAAGCCTGGCCCAAGAGGTGTCCTGTGGTACCCTAAGCCTCACAACACCTTTATTTCTTGCATCTCCTCCCCCAGTATCCTGACTCCCCCTAAGACTACCCCTGAGCTGAGGTCAGGACGGAAACCACAAGGACAAAACACACTCATACTGCTCAGAGATACAGGAAAAGGCTTTATTTGCAAGGAGGGGACTCAGTCGAACAAGCCAAAGCCCATGTCATCATCCGATTCCTCAGACTCCTCCTTCTTCTCTTCTTTCTTCTCCTCTGC